CTAGAGAAGCCAAGAAAAACCAGAAGAGCCCAGTACAAAGGAAGTTAAATGAACAGGTCCTCAAAGAGAGTCATCAGTGAGCTGAGAAGTCTAACATGGCCTTGGAGGTTAGTAGAAACTGCTGCTGATACTAGACTGCAAGGAAATTTTTGTAGGGTAAAAACGGCAGTGAGAAGTGGAAAGAATCTGCCATATATCTGGGCGAAGGGGCAGGGAGGAATTAGGTAGTACTAGGAGGGAATGCAGGCTCAAAGGTTATGCTCAACATTATTTGTAAGAGAACACTAAGCAATCTGTGCATGCTGAAGAAAAACACTGATGATGGCTCAGAGTGACAATGCAGGGTTGGACTCACTGACAGAATGGTCCTTAAGAAAAAAAGGGTTTGTAAATATCTTCCATGTGTCAGGTTCCACTTGAGGCCTTGGGGACTCAATGTGTCAAACAGAATCTGCCTCCAAGGAGTTCAGTCTGACAAGGAAGTGACTGTCCACAAACAGGCAGAATGGAATGTGACATACATGCTAGTCCTCCAGTCACATTATACCAGAGGAACCCAGGGCAAGCTGACATGGGGTTCCTGAACTTGAGTCTATGGCTGCTTACCTCTCAGCTCCTGCTGCCTGATGTGGGCTGGGACCTCGTCCTACCAGGAATTTGTAGGTTATTTATTTATTTTTTGTATGAATGAATAAATGGCCTTTGGAATGTTAAAAGTTAAGCACTAATGAAAATAATATTACACATACAATAGTATATATACTTAGTGTATGGTCTGAATGCTTGTATTTCCCATCAATTTAATATGTTGAAATCTTATCCTCAACCCAATAGTATCAAGTTTTAGGGAGTGATAAAGTCATGAGGACTCTCATGAATGTGATTAGTGTCCATGATTAGTGTCCTCAAGAACCTGGCCTGTCCAGTATGGTCACTCTTTTTTTGGTCTTTTTGAGACAGGATTTCCCTGTAGTCCCAGTTGGCCTGGAACTTGCTATGTAGACCAGGGTGGCCTTGAACTCACAGAGATTTGCCTGCCTCTGCCTCCCAAGTGCTGGCATTAAAGGCCTGCACTACCATGCCAGGCTCAGTATGGTCACTCTTATCTGTAGGGAGGTAGAAGCAAAAGGATCAAGAGTTCAAAACCAGCTTTGGCTACATAGTGAGCTTGAGGCCAGCCTGGGCTACATGTGACCTGGTCTTAAACCAAACCAAACCAAACCAACCAAATCAACCAAACCAAAACAACCATAAAAGGGGCAGAGGGAGCCTTTCTGCCCTTTGTGAAATGTCATAACACAGCAAGAATGTACTGTCTGAGGTACAGGCCTTCACTAGACACCAAATTGGCTAGCATCTGATCCTGGGATTCCAGACCTCCAGAATGAGGAGAAACAAATGTTCCTACACCACCCAGTTTCTGGAAAGACATACTTTGCCTGCATGTATGTGAGTGCACCCACGTCATGCAATGCCATGGAGGTCAGAAGGCTTCAGATTCCTCTGGAACTGGAGTTAAGGACGGTTCGTAGCCACCATGTGGGTGCTGGGAATCAAACCCGGGTCCTCTGCAAGAGCAGTCAGTACTCTTAACCGCTGAGCCATCTCTCCAGCCCCCAAAGTATAGTTTTCTAAGAAGTGCATGCTGCTTCTGTATTATCTTAAAGTTGAAATATTGAAAGTCAAGCCATGAAAAGTAGGGGACCATTTGTTTCGTTATGGTAGTCCTCAAAGATGAAGATACTTAGAAAACATGCATAGAAGTGTTATATACAGAGACAACTGAAGGTTAAGAGAATAGGGCAGAGGGGACACAGGGTTCAATCATGCAGGGAAGGCCTGAAGTGGTTCATAGCGCTCTTGGTCAATTATATCTCCCAATTTGCTACTTTATGATTAATTAATTAATTAATTATTAATTTTTGTGGTGCTAGAAACAGAACCTAGGGACTTGTGCATGCTACTGTTGAGCATACCACCAGCCCTTATACCTTAAATGCAACCGTTTAAGAAGGGATTGTTGGGGACCCCTGCTGTTTAGGGTAGCAGTCTCACCATGTCCGGATAGCCACAAGCTGGCTCGGCGCGATTGGGGAGACTCCTCTTCTCAGCGGGGCGCCTTCTGCTCTCCTCCCTGACTTACTTTTGAAATGCCCATCACAAGATACATGCCCTCTGGCACAGGAGCTACCAGGTTTTAATCAGGCGTTGTCTGATAGCCTGATAGAAGCCCACCACCCTATGTAAATGAGGCATCCTAAAAGTACCTATCAGCTAAGACTTCTTCTACTGTCTCTACA